TTAGGTTGCTTAAAGTGGCTCACAGAACTAAACCTTGGTAGCACTTCTGAAATATTTCCCCTGCTAAGCGAGAGGGATGTCACGAAATGAAACAAAAAAGGAAGCAATATTTCTTTTGAATGGAAGGATAAAGTAGATTTAATCTAAACCAGGCTAGTTCAGTATCGAAGGTTTGCTCGTGGTGTTCAGCAATTTTAAAATCAGAACCTTATTGGTTTTAACTCTGCCACATGGAGGAGGAATTAATCCCATGGAAATGCACATGTGTAATGGGACATGGTAGCTATCCCAAATCCAGAGCCCTGGACGTTCAGGGTGTTTTGGGTCTCTGGATACAGCCGTGTTAATTTTAAAACAAAAACCTCCAGCTTCCGGCAACTTCCACAGTAGCATTTCCAATGTTTTTTAAACAGCTATTAATGCAGTCAAGCTGTGGTTTTTTCCTCCTCCTCTGTGCAATCATCTGCTCAGTGGTGCACTCCAGCAGCAGTAGCAGGAGCCAGAGGAGTGGCCTGCTGTGATTGATGGGGCGCGGCCCCGCTGCAGGAGCCCCATCTGGATCAGGCTTTGGGAGCACCGGGATGTGGGGAGGGAGGGAGGGCAGAGAGCCCCATCTGGATCAGCCTTTGGGAGGGCAGAGAGCCCTGCATGGGCTCCCCCTCCCTCAGCACCCCAAGTCCCTCACCCCTGCTCTGCTCACACGCCCCCAGCCTGCACTGATGCTCCCCTTGGGCAGATGCTGCATGGCCTGGGAGCAGAGCAGCTGCTAAGTTTATGGAGAATAGAGGCAGCACCATGGTACAGCAGGTATTTTCACTTTTATTTTCACTTTTATTTTCACTTTTATTTTCACTTTTATTTTCACTTTTATTTTCACTAGAAACTCTTGCTTTTTAGGCAAGCCAGGGCTGTTCTTATAAGCAGCTGCACCACTGCCATGCAAGGCTTCTAAGCCGTGTTTTGGTGCTTCAATCTGAAGGAGGGCAAGCTATGGGGAATCGTGTTTTTGATAGATGTAACTGAGCCCTTAGAACCAGCAGGTTTGCAGAGAAATGTTGCATTTTTCTTCTTTGTTTCTGTGCCCTGAGGATACGATGCAGTTTGGCTCATTTAACTACAGTACAGGAGGCTTTCTCTAAATGTGAACTATCTCTTGCCAAAGAAACAAAATGCACCAAATGGAAAATAGAGAAAAACAAACAATAAACTGTGAGTTCGACTTCAAAATGCAGGCAAGCAAAAAGGTTTTCATTGATACATTTTTATGCTGCAAATGTGTTTTTAAGAAAAAGAAACACTGCCTAAGAAATGTTTTCTCTGCTCTCTCCTCTGTCTACAAACATAACATGCTTGCCTTATTATGTTTTGACACTTTTTATACATTTCTTAATTATGAAATCTTTTCAGAGGAGGAGATGCTGAAAAGTCATCTGAGATAGTAGCAGCAGTTTAAATTCTAAGCTTTTCTTCAAATGGGATAATATGGATGAAATAGGAGAATCTTTACTTACCTACATCGTTGGAATCCTTTTTTTATTTTTTTGTTCTTTAGAGTTCAACATTTAACCAGAAAGCAATAAATTTGATTTTATACACTGCCACGTAAAGCATATTTTTCAGTTGAAATGTGGTTTTCATTAAGACTCGGGCCAGAACACTGAGCAGAGCCTGACTGTCTGCCATCCTTTGTTCTCCTTGCTGTTGCCAACAACCACTTCTTTAAAAAAACCATGCACAAAGTGAGCATTAAGGGGTCATTTAATCTTAAAGATACTTGGAACTGAGTCTGAAGGGACAACTTCTGTTCAGCCTCTCCTGCTTGGGTGGGGTTAAGCCATGCCTGTGTACTGTCATACACAGCTTTGAAATTACCCCAGTACCTGAGTTCATGGGCTAATTTAGGATCAATATTTCCTCTTGCTTTTAGGGTTATTTCATATTTTCAACTTAATGCATTAGAATTTATTATTTCTTTTATTCATTTCAGTTCACTGTATTTTAAAGAGCACAATAAAGGAACATTTTAGCTGATTCTATTTAAAGAATTTTTGGTTCCTTAAAATCTATTTGAGTGTATCTCATGTGTAGTCTGGGCTTTCCATCAACCACATGTAGACACAAATGTGTGATAGCTGACACTTCATTGTTCTTGCCAGAAATTAGTATTTTGAACAATTTGCTTTGGCTATTATTAACTGAGTAAATAGTAAAGAACTTGTTTAAGTATACGTGTTTTTATATTACATTGCAATACCTTGTCTGTAGAATTAATTATGAATAATAAATTCACACTAATTTCAAAGGCTAGGAAAGGCTTCAGTAGTCACTTATTTTAAGGGATGAACATCTCAGATTTATTGTCACTATCATTTTAAACTTAGGGCCTCCAGTAGCATGTGCAAGTTTAATTTCTTTAATGTCCCCTGTCTTCCAACAATTAAATGAACCTGCAGAGCCTGCACTGATAATCTTGCCTGTCAGTTTGCTGCTGGGTTTCTTCAATGGCAAGGCTGTAAATCTCTGAATATGCAAAAAGAAGATAAATCCCTGACCCTTTGTTGTTTACTTATTAATGGGGTCTCAGTTATTAATAAGTGAGGCAGACCTCAGCTGAACAGGTCTAATGGAAGAGGCAGAAGAGTCTCAGCACTGTGGAGGTTCTGAAATTGCCAGTGCAATTTGCCATTTTGTGATAAATCTAAAAAGTTTGGAGTTGCTGGTAAAAATAATGGAAAAGTTCAACCCTCTTAATTAAATATGAGCTGTAATTAGCACTAGGTGTGGATGGTTTGAATATTAATTAGGGTCCTCATGGAACTGCTGTCAAGGTTAATGAGAAACAGTGGGGGTCTCAGCAACATCTGGTTTAGGGCTGGAGGTGGTACAAAACCCTTTGGATAAAATGCACCTGGACATCACCCCCTGGTCCCTCTGATGCCATTGCTGCTCTTTTTTACCAGCTGCTGGCTCTGGTGTCGTGTTCAGCATCAGATGGGAAGGAATGGCTTAAGGACCAGCACTAAGCAGCTCCTGTGCTTCAAAACCAGCACAGTCAAAATGCTTATAGAGGCAGAATCTGGATTTGCTTTTGTTCCTTCTTCCCCCTTGCTCAAGTCCCTCCTGAAACAGCTCATTAAAAAATTTAAGGTTGGCTGCCTCCCACACAAGTTTTAAAAGTACTTCTTTAACATTTAATGAATGTCTCTGGTGTAATCCAGTCATTCCTGGGTTTTGCTTCAGCTGGATTTAAATTTTTTTTTTTAATAGTGAAAATATTAGGTAAAAGAAATAAGAAAGGAGCTTGACCATTTTAATATTAGAGGGTAAAAGTACACATTTACAAGAGGTTTTAACCTCCACAGAAATTTAACAGGGCCAGTTTCAGTGCAGCTTTAACCTTGCTGAGATTGTAGATGCACAAACAAATCTCAGTGACTTAACCCTGTGAAGTCAGTAAATGACAATGGTTTCCTGCTAAGGATGGATGAATGAAGCAATGGAAACCACTTGCTCAAGGCCATACATTAAACCAGCAGCAAAGATGGGATTAAAATTAGAGAGGGTTTGATTGCTAATATAAAGTTCTAATTTTTTCAGACATACAGAGTGCCTCTTACAAAGGAAAATTCAGTTTTCTCTTTTAACCGGTCGAGTACCAAGACTTAACTCCTGTGTGAATTCTTAAAAGCTCTTGAGTTTAGGATGAGTTCAGGTCAGAAGGCTGATGTCTGAATTAGCTGGAATTGGCTGTAAATGCCCTTAAGTACAAAGTGCAGAAGAATGTCTTTTATTCATCCACCCTATTTTAAATTGGGAAATCAAGGACTGATGAGTAGGAATAAAATACCTGCAATAGTTTTGGGCAGGTGCTTGTACATGTGTTGGTGGGAGAATGATGGAGTAGCTTGAAAGGTAATTAAATTTTAATTGTGCATTTTTATATTCCTTGCTTATTAGTGGGATAATTTTATTTTGTAAATTAGTTTATCTGAGGTTGGGGTAGTCCTGCACTAATGGCCTCTAATTGTATCTCAGGCAAAATCTCATTCTGGACATGTTTTTATATAGGTTCAGAAAGATTGTAGTATACATTTCCTCCTCTAGAATTATTTTTGGTGTGGGGAAAACATTTAGTCAGAAGTTTTTTAATTGCTAATTTAACAGGTTTGGTTCTTCTTTATAATATCAAATGGAAATATGCATCTCTCTATAAAGATGAGGGTAGTGTTATTAATGCTATAGGCTAATTGTGATATGAAATAAAATACTGCTGTCTTCAAATGTAAAACTTTTAAAGTTCTTAAATCTAATTTCGATATAGAATTATTTTTTAATGTTATTTAAAGTTTTGAACTGATGCACTTGCAGATTCAAATACTTAATATTTTGACTAGATCTCATTACTATTTTGCATTTGTTTCATGCAGTGGCTCAATGAAGGGTATCTCAAAGTATTCTGAATATCTCAGGGCATTATTGCACATAGGTATTTTTAGTGTTTGTTAACAGTATGCACCCAAATTGTGCACAGCCTCTATTGTGTTCTGTAATTGGTCAGTCAGAGTGATCACAGACTGGGGGCTGAGCTTAGCCCAGCTCTGTGCTGGCAGCTGTGCTCAGGAACCTTTGGAATGAACTGGCTCTGTCCCTCTTCCTTGTCTGAGTTGTTGAGCCATCATTAGTGCAGGCAGCTTTCACTGACCTTTCCTGCCTAAAGACTACTCCACAATTATCCAGCGAGCAGCAGATTTGTTTGTCTAATAACAATATTTAATAGGGTTAGCAGAATGCATTTAATGCAGATAAGAAATATCCTCCTCAAGAAGCAGCCACTGTGCCCTTTTCAGGCCAGGATGCTCTCTGCGTTACGGGTTCAGGGCCTTCGCTTATTTTAGCTCATGCCACGTTTCTTCCATTGTTTATTATTATTATTATTATTATTATTATTATTATTATTATTATTATTATTATTATTACTATTTTCCCTTTGGTTTCCACAGGGTAATCAGGAAGCTACAGCACCTCCTGACACAATGGCCCAGCCTTATGCCTCAGCGCAGTTTGCTCCACCTCAGAACGGGATCCCTGCAGAATACACAGCCCCACATCCGCATCCAGCTCCAGACTACCCAGGCCAAAGCACTGTTCCAGAGCACACGTTAAACATGTACCCTCCTGCTCAGACACACTCTGAACAGAGTGCAGCTGACACAAATGCACAAACTGTCTCCGGCACAGCCACAGTAAGTCAAGGTTACTGCTCTTTCTGAAGCTCTGTGTTTTGTGTGTGTTTATCAAGAACGTTTTTCCCTTGACACGCTTCGTTTGCGTCAGGCTTAGGCACCCTGTTAATGTTGGAAGTCTGTCAGAGTTTGCTGTTCAACCTGGGGAATGTGTTTTGCTGGTTTTGGAGCTTCTTAATAAGTGTTGGGGCTTTGTAGAACCTGGAATTTCATTTTCAACGGCGTTAGACAAAATGATTAATAGCCAGCCCATGAATCACAGCATAAATTTTAATTAAGTCCAATATGGAAAAACATTGCACATGAGTGTTTGTAGGCATTCATTTGCTGGGCCAAAGAAAGCAACCAAAAAACCCTAACCAGACTCATTTGATTATTTTTATGACCTCTGTGTTTTCGACACAAGCAGTTTTAATAAAAGTATTACTTGAATGGTCCTGTACAAAATTTACTGTGTGAATTAGTATTGTGAAGAGCATGTCTGCAGTATTGTATTTTCTAGAGAGCTTGTTTGTTCAGCCATTACCCAAGTTGTGTGTGGATCTGTGCTAAACAGAGCAGAAATGATAGACTTTCCGTCTATTTGATTTATACGTGAAGTTCTGAAGTGTCATGAATTATGCAAGAGGCTCCTTGGATGGCTCTACCTTGTAATTTAAGTCACAAATTTCACACACTGATAGTTTAGTGTTTCTGTCTTAATTCTAGAGTGGGACCCAATATATCCAGTGCCAGGAGCTGGCAGGTCTCTGAGCCATCAACCAGCCCCTGGTGTTACGTGTGCAGGATGGGGCACAGAACAGGCAGTGCTGGAAACATCTCCTGGCTGTCCTCAGCCTTGCCTCAGCCCTTCTCCCTGCCTCAGCTTACCTCCCCTTCCTTCCTGGCTCGTGTCCAGCCTAAAAGGTTTCATGCATTAGGGCAGGAGGAAAAGGAAAGCACATTCTCTTAAATGAGCTCTGCAAATTTATGTTTATTGCCATGCCACTTATTTCTTTGTATGGGTTGTGCAAGAAAGGGAAGCAATACCAAAGGCACCAAAGAATATTCCTTGCTATTATAACAGAGAAATCCTTGTGAATTAATTACATATTTTTTGTGGTTTATGCAGTAAAATGTTTTGGTTTTTTTTTTTTTTTCTAACTTGGTAACTTTTTATTGCCCTGAGTTTCTCTTTTCTCCAGTACTGGGAGAAAGTTTAAATTGAAGAGCATCCTATTTGCTGCTATCTCATAGCATTCTTTGCAGCTCTACTGTGTTTCCTCTTATCCATCTCTTTGCTAAGTTAAATTCCTGGCTCCTTCTAGCTTTTAAAACTTGCTTCCATAATCATTTTTTATTGTTGTCTAACTTTTGTCAAATACCACTGTCACTGGTTTAGAGCAGGAATCCTAAGCTGAATATATACTCCAGAAGAGATTGGATATTGACTAAAAAGATAAAATTTCCTACTGTACCTTTTTTTGTTCTGTTCTGTTCTCTGATTTTGCTTGGTTTTTGTGACCACTGCTGCAACTTGAACAATCCCCTGTGATGGCCAGCTCAGCCTTTTCATGTTTTGAAACTGTTTCTGTTCAGTCCTGAAGTGAAATCCTGACAGAGCTAAAATCAATGGTAAAAGACCCGTCGATGGGAGTGGGACAGGAGCTCATCCCTCATCATTTATTGCTTTCAATTGATTGTGTTTCCTCACCCCGTTTTGATTTTTCAGTTTGAAGAAATGTCACTCACTTTATCAGAGAAGTCAGGGATGTGTTTTCCCAACATTTTCCATAGCAAAGGCTGGTGAAAAGACACAGTCTGGATTGTCTGCAATGCCCTTATCTTCTTCAAGTGCTCTATTCAATCCCAGCTCTAGCAAATCCAATGATTCCCTGCTTCTGATATGCAAATAGGCTTTATTGTTATTTGGTTTTGTGTCCTTTGCTATCTGCTCTTACTTGCTTTTTGCTTTCCTAGTATCCAGCTTGTATTTTACCTGTCAGACACCTTTTCCCTTCTGTTTCCCCTTGGAGTGAATTGCCATTCTCTGCAGGATAACACTTCAATTCCACCAACCTGTTATATTCAGGGAATATGGTATAGTTATTTGCTCTCTTTATTGTGGATCCTTTCCTTGCATTCTGGTTTCCTTTCTTATTGAGGAATGGACAGAACATTTTGAAGTAGCTCTCATGCTGTTTATAAAGAATTCGATTTCTTTCCTTTTAACTTTCAGGTCTGTTTGAGAAAGTTTTAGTATGGTTTGGTTTTTAACAAGATATTTTTTTTCCAAATTGTAATGCTATATTGAAAGCTGTGGATGCTCTCCCTCAAGAGCAGTGCAATGAAAAGGCAGGTTTCTAAGATGTGTGCTCATCTATGGGTCTGCACTGACATTTAACACTTTGTTCACCAGCCAGGTTTACAAATGCACAGACAAATATTGCTTGCACAATTTAATTACAGGCACCTAGGTTTAAAATCTGTTATGCTGGGTGGCATTAGCCATTGCTCTTGGCAAACTGTGGAGACTTTATAAATAGATATATGCAGATGGATCCCAGGCAGATGTAACATGGCCTTTGTAATATTATAAGGGTCCAGCTGTTTACTCTGTAGGTTTAATAATATAAGTTTTTATTATGAAAGAGAGCTTCAACAGCACTGTGTCAACATTCTACCTCCATGTGGTCTTTATTGTCAAAGGAGAAAAAATATGTTTTTTTTCTAATTTCTGCTAGTTTTGAGAATAGTTGATTTCCAGTTGAGGAGTTTTAGGTGGAATTGGTGTGGGGACATAGTGGCATTTGTTTGGTAGGTTCCAATGGTTTTATTTAGTTTCCTTTCAGTAAGCTGTTTATGACATGCATTTGAAAGAAAAATAATCAAGTGGCCAATCATTCACAAAAGGATGCTGTGGTGATTAAGGACAAGCTGTTGGAGGCAAGACCAGTTTTTGAATTTTCTCACTCAGAGATTTATGTACATCTGAAGCTGGATATACCATTAAAAGTAGATCTTAAAATTTTGCAATGTGAACCTAAAAAACTTCAGGGCAATTGTCTAAACTGTAGAATTACTACCAGAAGTGACTTAATGATCTCCTCCATGAAGGACTGAATCTATGCTGAGGTGAGATACATCCCAGGCTGTGTCTGAGCGTCCCAGGTTCTTTCTTCTGGTCTGAAAGAATCACTCACTGAAGATGGAGCTCACACTGGGTCTAGTGCCACCTAAACCTCAGCTCTAGGGGGACAGAATATAAGAAAATAAAGATAGTGTAGAAAGTAATCTCACCCCTAAGGAGCTGCAGCTGGGCCAATGATCAAAGATCAGGAGCAGGCCTGACTTTAACAGGCCCCAGCTGTAAGCAATGAGCAGAAGATGCTATAAAAGAGTGGGGTGGGTGGGTGAGAAGGGAACTGGAGTCAGTGGCTGCTTTGTGAGGAGGAAAGCGTCAGTGCTGTGAGGAGCTGCCCACGAGAAACACCAAGAAGGTAGGGAACTATTGTGATAAGGAGACAACAGCATGGAACCCCTGCAATAGGATGACAACACCCAGTAAAGAGAAAAATAATCAAAATAAACTCTTTCTGTGCAACTCCTCTTGAATCCTCAACTGCAGACCAGGGTGAGATCCTGGCCCAGCTAGAGCCACTGCCAGGATCCCCATTTTCCACAAACTGATCAAAATTCCAATCATCAGTTTTATTGCAGGTTTGCAATTTTGTGCGGAGTGCTCTTGTAATTCGTGTTCAGAAGTACTTCACGTACTCTTGGGCACGCTCTTGTACTTGTAGAAAGAGTCCTTCCCAGTGACCAGTTTTAATCCATTTAGATAAAATGGTGTAACACAGTATTCTGTCAGGGTAAGTGCTGGAACAAGAGGTGCTCGGATTGCATGTGCAGGGATTGCTAACTCTGACTGTGGTGCTCAGAAACAGGGGAAGAGGCACAGAATGAAATGGTGGTAAATGATTAAAGACAGGGTGATTTAGCTGAAATAATATGAAATTATTGGTAGGTAATAAAATACTGTCAAAATTTACTTTGAGTCTTCTCTGATCATCTCTGGTTTTCATCTTTTTGGATCCTTATGTTTGTTAACTTTGAATGAGGATGAAGTGCATCTGAGTATATGCAAAATCAATGATCAACCAGCAGTGGGTTATTTAAATGCTGGTAAACTTTTGGAGTTGCATAGCATCAAATATGTCTTAAGGCATTAACAGAAATAGTAAATGGCTTCCCAGAAGGTTTGATGTATGAAAAGGATGTCACAAAGTTTTGCTGAAAGTGACGTTTCTGATGATTTTGCAGAGTGGTTTGGAGTGCTACATTAAATAGGTATATGTATTAAAGTGTTTTTAAGTAAGGCATTTAATCATTTTATGAAATAAGCCTTTACCTGTGTACCTATACAGATGCAATTGTAGTGTACATAAATAACTTTGATGAAAACTTGTTCAGTTTTTGCCTGTGGCTTTCCTGCACAGCTTCTGTTGATGACAGCAGGAGATGTGTGTGTAAATAGAAAGGTCATTAGATGGGCATGTGTAAGGGAGCAAGTAACAGTAAAGTAAATGTTTCTCTAGTGTTTCCTGTTCTAAGTGTGTTATACTAATAATGAGAGTGACTATCCTGGTGTGGTAAGAGCTGAGGTTGCAGTAATGCTCTGTGGCTTATGTGTTTATATCAAAAATGTGCTGCTTTAAACTTAATTCTACTTCTGCATAAAACTGGAGGTGATTGTGCAGTCCTTCTGTTTTGGACTGAGCTTTCACCAGGCATCAGAGGCTGAAGACTTGTGTGAGAAGTTGTGTGTTTGGATGGGAGATCTTGAGGGAAAAGGCAGTTTACCTGGAGGAGTGATCCATCCGTGTCTGAAGGGCTGAGCATCAGCAGCCAGCATGGCACTGGGGGATGCAGGGCTGCTCATCCCTGGAGCAGATGTGCAGTGCTGAGGTGAGGGCTGTCTCTGGCCTGGGGAGATGATAAGGAATGTTCCCTCTAACTTC